GCAAAAATGGTTTCTCAGGTATAAAAAAGAGATAATGACCATGATGAAGGACTTGCTCAGCAAATTTACAGTACACATAGATTAAAAAATGGAGGAGCATAGGAAAATGATGGAAATCATGAATGCCCATCATAGAAAAGAAATGGAATCCATGAAACAGATTCAAAGAGGTATCTAGAAAATTAAAAATTCCACTGAAATTTTGCAAAATCGAGTGAACAAAAGTGAAAATAGAATATCAGACCAAGAAGACAGGATAACAGTGAATACAAGAAAGATCTCTTAAAAATAGCAAGGGGCCATGAAAAAACAATTCAACAACTTCAAGATGACACAAAGAAGAACAACATAAGAATGATCAGAGTCAATGAGAAAAGCAGAGTCAGCACAAATGACATTAAAAAATATGTTCACAGAGATAATAGCTGAAAACTTCCAAAACATGGACAAAGAATTTGACATACAAATACATTGGCATATAGAGCTCCAATTAGTCATGACCAAAATAAATCTATACCAAGGCATATAATAATTAAGATTCCAGAAATTCAGCATGAGAATGGAATGTAAAAAGCTGTTAAAAAAGAAATAAATCACCTATAAAGGAAAGACCATTAGAACTACAGTAGATTTCTCAGCACAGAACCTTAAGTCAAGGAGAGCTTAGAGTGAAGTATTTAAAGTCCTGAAAGAAAATAACTTCCAACCCAGACTGATGTATCCTGTAAAATCATCATTCAGAATTAATGAAGAAATAAAATACTTTCATGATAATTGAAATTGACATGACAATTGAAGAAGTTCATGATCACAAAACCTGCTCTAAAAAGTGTTCTGAAAGATATTCTAGAAAGAGATAACAAAGACCACAATACCAAGAGTGTCAGTAGAAAGAAGCCACTAGGCGGGGCAAGCAGTTAAACAGATGGGAAAGACAGCTAACCACCAGCAGGAAAACAATATGACAAGGACAAGCTGATATGAATCAGTTATAACCAATGACATTAGAAATCAACAGCAAAAGAAAACACAAAGACTCCATGAACACACAGAAATTAAATAACAACCTACTGAACAACAAATGGGTCACAGGTGAAATTAAACAGTATCTACAATTAAATGATGATGCTGATACAGTATACTAGACCTTATGTGACTTAACAAAAGCAATACTAAGAGGGAAATTTACAGAAGTGAATTCTCATATCAGGAAAATAGAGTGAGCTCAAATAGACAACCTAATGTTGAACCACCAACTAGTAAGGAAGATGAACAATTCAAGACTAAAGCTGATTACAGGAGGAAATTATAAAGATCAGTGCAGAAATTAATGCAACTGAGACTAAGAAAACAGTACAAAGAATCAATAAATCAAAGAGTTGATTCTTTGAAAGATTAAATAAAATTGACAAACCCTTAGCCAATCTTACAAAAAATGAAAACATTCAAATTCATGCAATAAGGAATGAAAAGGGTGAAATCACAACAGATTCTGAGGAAATCCAGAAAAGTCATCAATACCTACTTTGAGAACCTTTACTCTAAGAAGATAGAAAATACAGAAGAAATGGACAGATTCATAGCTATATATGAATTACCAAAGTTGAATCAAGAAGATATACAACTCTAAATAGCCCAATATCAGTCAGTGAAATTGAAAATGTAATTAAGAAATTATCAACAAAGAAAAGTCCATGTCCTCATAGATTCATTCCTGAATTCTATAAGAAATTTAAAAATCCAATGCTATTATTACTCAAACTTTTTAATGAAATTGAAAGGAAAGAAATACTCTTAAAATCATTCCTGAAAGCAAGTGTTACCCTGATACCAAAACCAGAAAAAGACCAAATCAAAAAACAGAACTACAGGTCAATATCCCCAGTGCACACAGTTGCAAATACCCTCAATAAGATACTGGCAAACAGAATGCAGCAAATCATAAAGAAGATTACACAGCGTGACCAAGTAGGATTCATCTCAGGGATGCAAGAATAGTTCAACATATGCAAATAAATAAATGAAATATTACATATCAACATAGCCAAAGACAAAATCACACATTATCTTAATAGAGGCAGAAAAAGAATTGGACAAAGTCCAACACCCATTCATGATAAAAATCCTACATCAAATTGGAATAGATATTCTCTATCTCAAACTGATAAAAGCCATGTATGACAAACCATCAGCCAACATCATATTAGACAGTCAAAAACTGGAAGCTTTCACTCTGAAATCAGGAATAACACAAGGGGTTCCAGTATCACCACTTCTATTCAGTATAGTATCACCACTTCTATTCAACATAATTTTGGAAACATTAGCCAGAGCAATTAGACAAGAGAGAGAAATAAAAGCAATAAAGGTAGGAAAGAAAGAAGTTAAATTAGCATCATTTGCAGATAACATGATGCTCTACATGGAAGATCCCCAAAACTCTAGGTTTAATAACCAAATTCAGTCAAGTAGCTGGATACAAAGTCAACATTCAGAAATCAATAGTCTTCCTTTACACAATCAACAAACTCACTGAGAGAGAAATTAGGGAACCCATGCCTTGTACAATAGCCCTAGATTGTCCAACATTATTTCCCATATGTGTGATATATTGTCTGCCTCATCATAGATAATTATAAATATGTGTCCAATAAAAGGATAAATTGATGTATATGTGAAATGCAGGTAGGCTAACATATTTTTATGTAGCTATGAACTATAACTTTTGATACTTATTGTATGAAAGTCAGAGTGCCAATTGATTACCTACATTATACCAACTTAGTTCCACAGAGCTGTAAGCCAGCAATAGGAATTTTTTCCCAAGGAAAAACATCAGGCACAGAAAAGATTTTATTACATCCATGGTTGCAGGAGTAGCAAATTAGATGTGATTTTGAAGATGAAAACCTGATTCGTGGATGGCTGTTTGGACAGCTCACGTTCTTTACCACAGTTATGCATTTCCTTACCTCACCATTCAGTTTCTTTCCACAAGTGTTGCATTTTGATGTGAGATAGGCAACACATAAATATGCCCTCATTTTATTTAACTAATGAATACTTACAAATATCATGTGTTTAAAGTGCCACAGGTGAGAGTGCATACAAATTTGATTGAGATATACTGTAATCTTGCCCAGTAGGAGGCAGCAGTGGGGAGAGGGGGAAAGAGAGTTGAGGGAGAGTAAAATGTGTGTGTCGACTCCGAGCCCCATGTCCTTCCACTCGGCTTGTGCAAAGCCAAGGTCTGCCTTCTCCTTCCACGGCACTTCTCTTACAGGCTTTTATGAACTTTGTTATTGGTACATTCTAAATATGCACAGTAGTCACTTTCATCATGGGGAAACTATACCTATATACAACATACCTTAGGTCCTCTTTTTGTCCCCAATCCCTCCCCTCCCTTCAACCCCTCCTCCCCTCCTTATTTACAAAGCTTTGCTTCTGCTTTCTCCTCCTTTTCTCATGTTTTCTTTTCCCTTCCTTCCTCTATTCCTTCCCCTTCCCTCCTTTCCCTTTCCTTTTGAACAGTTTCTTCCTATTTCACAATATCTATCTTACATTTTGATCCTCATTTACACTTTCAGTTTCTCACACCAGGAATCAATGTGATCGTTACATACGTGCCCAATGTATCTCACTTAAGAGTATGGTTTCAAGGTTCAGCAATTTAGCTGGAAATGTCTCAAGTTTATCCTTCTTTCTGGCTGAGTAGTATTCCATTTCATTAAAAAAAACCACATCTTTTTTATTCCTATTTTCTCCTTCTCTAGTAACCACTATTCTAGTCTCAACTTTGAAAAAATCACCTTTTTAAGATTCCACCTATGAGTAAGGTCATAAAATAGTTGTGTTTCTGTGCCTGTCATAGTTCACTTAACAGCATGAGCTCCAGATCCACCCATGTATCATTTTCCACAGTTTTATTTGTGGAATATATCACATTTCTTGATTCATGGCAATTTTTATCTAATGCAGCGCTGAGTGAGTGGAACTGTGAACCACGCGGCTTTCCTCTGTGCTGTGGTTTGGCGGGGGCCTGTCCCTCAGTGCTGGGACTTCAACCTCAGTGTGGCAGAGCTGAGGGAGTGGCACCCGTAACAGTGGGGCCCATGGTAGTTGGGTGGCCCATCAGGGGAACCTCTCATAGAGAGATTAAAGTAGGGATGGGACCCTGGTTAGTTCCCATGAAAATTACTGTTTTAAAAGAGAAAGCCTGGCCTACCCCTTCTCTGTCATTGTGACCATGCTATCCCAACAGTGTGCCTAAGAAACCAACAACCATGCCAGCAACTGTGTGTAGCCAGCAGGTCCTAACTATCACCAGCAGGCGCTGGACCTATGCTGTGCAACTCTAAAGATATGAGCCAAGTTTTCTCTCCTTTACAAAGTGTCCAGGCTCAACCAGTTAGTATAATAATGGAAAATGAAATGATGTATTCGCCCAGTAAGATAAACATTGTATTAACTTACAAATGAAAAATCATAGGTTTAGGAGAATAGCAAGGTCATATAGTAAAAGATTGCATTTGAATAAGTGTTGGTAAAATATCAGAATCTTTCTGTTATTCTAGTAGCTTCTTTGACTTGGTATGGTGTTGGCTCATTACTTTTATGCAAGCAAATATAGTGACCATATGGACCTTCCTGATAAATGTCCAACAGCAGAATTTCATGGAAATAGCAAATTTAAATTACATATAGTCAATTCCTTAACAAGACAAGGATAACATGGATAATGAAGGATATAAAAAGCCAATTCTACACTTTTCCATGTTATCTTTGTTATTGTCCTGAACATATGATTTCTCATTGGAGGAGTAGATTTTTAATCATTAATTTACTTTGTGTAAATTAGGATGTTTCACCAGAGTCTGGAACACTTAAGCCCTCACACTGATAGCCATAGAAATAACCATTATTATTTACATACAAAAGACCATAAATTGCAGCCACTAATTTTTCAACAGATTTCATTATGGAAACATGCTCATATTAGGAAGGAAAAAAAGTGAACACTAACAACACCAAAGAGAAATCACTTAAGTTTTGTTTCTCAGAAAATGCAAACCACACAATTTCATATTTAGAAAAATTGCTAGAGGAAAATGCAGATCTGAGTGACGTGTGAGGTGTGTGTGTGGGTGACAGTGTGTAGTCACAGAATCTGAGGCTCTCCCCACAGGGTGACCCTCAGCAGACAGAGCAGAGCACTGCGGCTGGAATACGTAGGTACTGAGCTCCCCTTTCAGACTTTTGGGCTGATGACTTTTTTCTTTTACTGGTTGGAGGACATCTGGGAATGTAATGGGAAAAATGAGGATTTGGGGCATGATATAAATTCACGTATAAGCAGTCAAAATATTTGAATATGTTGTTGTGAGCTAACTGCAAGATAAAACAAGGGGTTAGACAGCATTGGTTATAAGGGGTGGGAGCTGTGGGAGGAACATTATAGTGAGAAAGTTGGTTTTCTTTAAGGAGTTTTATTTTCCTTATGTCAGAAGAAAAATGACCATTGCAGTTTCTTGGGTACTACCGATTTTTGATTAAGCAAATATGTCTGTACATATACAGTATATCTTATATTCAGTTTATCTGTTTGTATTTCTTATTCCATGCTAAATTTGCATATTATTATAGTAACAACTTTTTGATTTTTTTATTTTAAAAAGAAAAAAGATAAACATAACAATGAAATCGAGTTTCAAACCAGGTTAGTAGGACATTTACAATAGTTGATACATTGTGTACTGTGGTCTTCCTAGTAGTTATTCAGAGTAGAAAATATAGGCATGATATGTTATCTATGCAATATTAACACAAAACTTTCTTTTTAATGAATTAAGAGAAACTAGCTGAATAAGTATCTCTCTTTTTTCTGTCTTGGGGAACTGGGAATCTAATTCATGATCTTGCACTTGCTAGGTAGGTGCTGTGCCTCTGAGCCATATCCCTGGCCCTCAAGAATTTCATCTATTCTATCTCCCAATAAATTTAGGGTTTCTGTTTAATATTTAGATCTTTGATCTATTTCAATTTTAATGTGTTCATGGTGAGAGATATGGGTCTAGGTTTAACGTTTGGCACGTTGATACTCAGTGTCCCAGCACCATTTATTAAAGAGGCTATCTTTCTTCTAATGAAAGTGTTTGGCCAGATTGTCAAAGATAAGGTGGCTGAGTGTGTTTGGAGTTGTTTCTGCACCTTCTAGTCTGTTCCACTGATCCTGTGGTCTGTTTTTTCTCAATACCATGCTATTATTATTTTTATTTTTTTATCAGGGTAGCTTTGTAGTATTATTTCAAGTCTGGATTGTGACGCCCCTGCCTTGCCTTTGTTGCTCAGAACTGCTTTTGCTATTTCAGGTCTTTTCCGGTTCCAGTGAAATTTTAGAATTGTTTTCTCTAATTCTGTGAGATATTCTGTTAGTGTTTTGATCAAGATTGCATTAAACTTGTGTAGTACTTTTGGAAGTATGGCCATTTTAATGACATTGGTTCTTCCTACCCAAGAACTAGGGATATCTTTCCATTTTCTGATATCTTCTCTGATCTCCTTTACAGAGTACTATAGTTTTCAATATGAAGGTCTTTTACTTCCTTTGTTGGATTGATTCCTAAGTATTTCATTTTTTGGATGCTATTGTGGAAGGTGTTGTTTCCTTAATTTCTCCCTCAGTGGATTGTTATTTGTATAAAGGAAGGTTATTGATTTTTGAGTGTTGACTTTATACCCAGCTTTGCTGCTGAATTTGGTTATTAAATCTGTAAGTCTCTTGGTGGAGTTTTGGGGGTCTTCTGTGTAGAGTATCATGTCATCCCAAATAATGATAATTTAACATCTTTATTTCCTGTCTTTATTCCTTTTTTTTTGGTCTCTCTTGTCTAATTTCTCCAGATAATGTTCCTAGAACTATGTTGAATAGGAGTGGTCATAGTGGACATCCTTGTCTTGTTCCTGATTTTGCGGTGAAAGCTTTCTGTTTTTGACCATTTAGGATGATGTTGGCTTTTGGTTTGTCATAGGTGACTTTTTTTTACTTTTATTAGATTGAGATGAAGACCATTTAGACACATAATTAAATGCCTCATAGTTTACTAAATGTCTGATCTTATGCTAGTAATGCTTCAGTTTCTTCATCTATGGAAATTACAATTGTTCCTAATTAAGATTTTTATAGGTGTTAGCATTTGTTACTCATTTAGAATGATGGTTATACCAGTAGGTCATATATAGAAATTCATTAAAATTAAAATGAATACAAACTGTAAAATAAAAAATAAACTATGAGAGGTTATTTTGATTATTGCAAATCTTGATTTGAACATATAAGGAGTTACTTTTAAATTTACAGAAAATATAACAATTCCCAAGGACTTCTGTTTTTGGATGAGTGTAACCCTCTGAAGCATGATATTAATGTCTACATGGAGACAAGGATAAGGAAGCTATTCCACCCAGAAAATTGATAAGTGCTTGCCTATCAAGTTGTAGCAGATGGGACTTATAATACAACTGTATCCAATTTAGTACCAAAGTAATCTGATAGGTTTTGACCCTGGGGCCTCCTCTACAAGGAGTTATTGGTAATTATGCAGACAGGGTAGGGCAGGCGGATACACTTTTCCATTGTAAATGGTAACAGGCAACTGGGAGAAAGTAATGGACCTTTTTTCTAGGAGAAGAATGCTAAACTTTTTGGGATGTCTGGTTTGGAATGATGTGACACAGTAGGTTTTTAGGCATAAGGCAATCATCTGTGCATATAGGCAAACTGATCAGTTATGCATTGAAAGAAAGCTCTGTGTGTCACCCAGGGTCTTGATGTATATTTCAAAACTGGCACTATTTGCATTTGGGGTCATGCATCTTGCTTGGTTCTCTGAGGCATTTTGAGGAGAGAAGGAACACAGTAGAGAAAGGAAACAAAATATAGCCTAAGAGTCAAATACAAATACAATCAGGTAATTTTACTATGCTACTGCAAAAGGTCAGATAGTAGTGTCCCATCCATCCAACATGGCATTACAAAGCTATGAAAAAGTATAAAATGACAAATGTTTACTAGTTAAGTGTGCTTGACTTGATTTAACTGTTATGCAATGCATACATGTTCTTGAACATGGTATGGTACCTTGATATATGCACAATAATATGATTTTAAGTTCCATAATTAAAAATTATGTTTTAAATTTTTTATGTTCATGTTATTTAATATGCTCTTGACAAAAAAGAAAGGAATGCAATATAATGAAATTTCAAGAAGCAGAAAACACTTTTAAACCAGTGTTGTTGTTTTCGCTTCTTCAATGAAATGAATATCATGATAACGATTAGGACAAAGCTTATGACTGTCGTCTTTAGATATAAAACACATTTCTGTTCAGATCTCAGTGCTATCATGTGTTACGCTAACCCACTTTACCTTCTCAGATTACAGCTTTCTCATTCCTCCCATCACTCTTCTGCTGCCACATTCCAAAATAGCGCACATTTATAACAGTGACGAACACTTCCATTTTCTTCATTTTTATATAAGCATAGTTAGTATGTGCTTACATATACTCAGGTTGCATATGTATTTCATTTTATCCTTGCTGCCATAAAAAATACATTAGACCGAGTTACTTAAAAATACACAGAAATTTATGTCTTGCAATTCTAAAGCCAGGAAAGTCCAAGATCAAAGTGCCAGAAGATTTCATGCCTGGTAAGGGGTTTCTCCCTTCTCCACAGATGGCACTTCCCTGCTACAACTACAGGTGGTAGAAGGGGCAGGCGGACTCCCTTCAGCCACTTTTTTAAGGTCACAGAGTCCTCATGAGCTAAGCACTTCTGAAGATGCTATTTCTTAACACTACCACTGTGGGTATTTGGTTTCAACACATGAGTTTGGGGAGATACCAATGTTTAGTCCAAAGCAATATCATATTATATTATATTATCCCAAAAATAATTTATCATGATTTTTAGTACAATTTTATTTTTTAAAAATTGAGTTTTTTCTTTCTAAGCAATCATTTCTAATTGTGTCTCTTCAGTTAATATTTAAATTATTTTAGTAGGTTTCATGTGTTCTCCAAAATCACTGTTTCACATTCTTTATTAACCATGTTTCTAGAGATGCAACTCACTTTCCACTTCCTATATCAAAGTCACTTTGATCTAGACAGTAAAAATAAACTCAGACTTTTAAAAGTATATACACTATACCCATGGGTACCTAATAACATTTGAAAGACAAACTGTCCAAGCTTTCAGGAAAGAAAAATAGTATTTACTTTTAGAAATTACACACACACACACACACACACACACACACACACACACACAATGCCATGGGTTTCCTGTTGCTGCCATGAAAAATTACAATGAATTAGATAACTTTAGACAGAATTTTGTTTACTTATAGCTCTGTACACTAGAAGTCTAAGGAAAAGATGTCAAGTGTAGCAATTCTTTCTGGAAGGCTTAGAGGAAAATTCTGTTCTATGCTTTTCTCCTAGCTTCTGGCAGTGGCAGGAAATCCTCGATATCCCTTGATTTATAAATACACTACTCCAATCTTGCCTCCATTGTCACATAGTATTCGCCTGTGTGTCTGTCTCTGTGTCTTGATTTCTCTCTTATAAAAATATGATAATTAGATTAGGTCCTACATTAACATTTTCACAAATGGGCCATAATTTCTACGTCTCTCTGCCCGGTGGCTCTGATTTGAATTTAGTTGTCCCAGCTGGCTTGAGCTACAGGTAGAACTTGAATGCTTTTCTCACAGGGCAGCTTTTACAGCTTCTCATGCAGTCTTTGACTACAATAATGCAAAGAAAGGCACTGACTTAGTAGATCAGACATCATCAAATTACAGTTCCTTAAGGAAAACATTAAGATGGTATAAAAATTGTAATACAGCTAACATGTAGTATAGAAGTTGTAAATGTATATTATATACACCAGCAATCAGGTACTTGTAAGGTTTCCATGTTTAAATTTAGCAAATTATTGATAAACTTTAAACAAACAAATGAATTTTTCATTTAACAAAATAAATTTATTACTATATTAATTTTAACTGATATGAACAGTATTAGTTAATATTTATATTTGAGAAACAGTTATTCAAATTCAAAAAACTAATTAGATTCCATCCATTGTTCCTAGATAGGAAGAACCAACATTGTCAAGTGGCTATATTACCAAATTGGTATATGGATTTAACGCAATCCCAATCAAAATACCAATAGCACTTTTTACATAATTAGAAAAAAAAATCCTAAAATGTGTATGGAACCAAAAGAAGCCCAAAATTGCAAAAGCATTCTTGGTCAACAAGACCAAGGCAGTCAGCATCACAGATCCAGATTTGAAGTTATATGGTAAAGCAGCAGTGATAAAAACAGCAGGTGCTGGAAAATAAACAACACCCCAGAAATGTTGAACAATGGAACAGAGTAGAAGATACAGAAATAACCACAGGAGCATTCAGTCATCGCATCTTTGACAAAGGGCCCAAAAACATAAGCTGGAGAAAAGATAGCTTTTTTAAACAAACTGTGCTGGAAAAAATGGTTATCTACATGCAGAAAAGTGAATCAGACCCAACATCTTTCACCTTATACTAAAATAAAATAAAAATCGATCAAAGACAGAGATGTAAGAACAGGAAAATTGAGTCTGCTGAAATATAAAACAGGTAAAATGATTAAAGATAAGGCATAGGCCATAATTTTGTGACCTACAGTACAAGAAATAACACCAACAATCAAGAAATGGGATTATATCCACTTTAAAAGCTTCTGCGCAGCAAAAGAATCAACAAAGGGAATAAAGAAAGAACCTAAAGGGTGGGGGAAAATATCCAGCTATTCCTCAGGTAAGGAATTAATATCTAGAAGATATAAAAACTCAAAAAAAGACCCCCCCAAAAACAAAAGACCCAATCAAAAATGGGCAATTGAAATGCATATACATTTCTCAAAAGAAGAAGCACGAATGGCCAGTGGGTCCATAAAAAGTGTTCAGCATCTTTGGCCATTAGAGAAATGTAAATCAAAACATCACTGAGGTTCAATCTTACTCTCAAAAAAACGACTACATCAAGAACTCAAAAAACAACAAATATTGCTGAGGCTGTGGGGAAAACAGAATCCCTCTACATTGCTGGTGGGCATTTATAAACCAGAACCATCACTATGAAAATCAGTATCTAGCTTTCTCAGAAGACTAAAAATAGAGATTCCATTTGACCCTGCTATACCTGTTCTTGATATCTTCCTAAAAGAGTTAAAAGACATTATGTTACAGTGATACATGTCTACCCATGTTTATAGCAGCACAATAAATACCAGCCAATCTTGGAAGCGGCCTCTATACCCATCAACAGGTGAACTGGCAAAGGAAATATAGTGTGTTACACAATTGAGTGCTATTTAGCCTTAAAAAAGGATCAAGTTGAGTCTTTTGTAGGAAAATGGATGTGCTGTGAGTCCATAAGCTAAGTGAAGTAAATCACACACAGAAAATTAACTATTACATGATTCTTTTGATATAAGAAACTCAAAGGATACATATTTATAAAGCAAAATAACGGATGAAATCGGGAAAGTGGACTCTGGAGGTGGGAAGGGGGTGGGGCAGACTATACACATGCGGAAGACAAGGGGAAGTAGAAAGGATCAAGATGAGATATGTATGTGGACCAGTTTCCCAGGATGAAACATACTTATGAAGATACTAATTGAAGAGGGAGGGGACTACTGAAATGCAAATTCCTGTGCTGCAGTATTCAGTCTGAACTTCAGTATTCCCACCTTGTTGCTATTTGGGAAATGGAAGCAGAATGACTATAAATTCAAAACCAGAGGGACCCTGTCTCAAAATTAAAATATAAAAAGAATTGGGATGTAGCTCAGTGGTAGAGCACTTTTGGATTCATTCCCCAGTATGAGAGAGAAAAAAAAAAAAAACCCTAGCAACTTATCTGTCGCTCTTCTGCACTGAGAGAGATACTAAAGGGAAGCTTCTGGCCTAAAGAGAACTGAAAATAGATAGCTTGAACCTATCAGATAAAAAAGACAAGATATCTTACTTTCTTTTCTTAATGTGGTAAATGACAACTGACTGCTAAGCAAAACCTAACATTTTATGGCATGCAGTAGTTTGTAATTTACATGTATCTAAAACACACCAGAAAAGACATATAGGATTGAAGAATTAAAGACCAAAGCAGGAGACATCGTTGCAAATGTGGTGTGTAAAATGGTTGTATCTTTCTTATGTGAAATGGTACAATATGAACTGTGAGTAGTCAGTGATAAAAGAAGAATGACCGTGTATTTATACAAAGGAAATCACAAGAAGTCTAGCTAAGGAGCAACAGGATGTCTCAGGTAGGATTGGGACAGAAAATACTGCATTTATCATTCTTTGAAGTGTTCATGTTGGAAGGTTATTGGGTCACGAAGTTCAGAAAGACACCGGGTGGAGTAGCTCTGCCTCTCACACGTACACACCCATATTTACAGCAGCTGCACCACTGTTATATGCCCAGTAACAGAGGAGTGGATAAAAAAGATAAAGTATTCACGCACAATGGAGTACTACTCTGCCATAAAGATAAACTCGTGTCATGTGTATGAAAATGGATGCACCTTGAGACCATAATGTTAAGTAGAATAAATCAGACCCACCAGCTTAGATATCGCGTGGCTTCTATATGAAAAAACCAACCTACAAATAAAGAGCCGAATAAGAGGCAGATCACAGGAAGCAGAGAGGTGGATTCTTCTCAGAGGGGACGGGGATTAAGAGAAGGAGGGCCCAGGGAGGGAACAGAATGTTCAAAGGAGTTAAGATATTTTATGTACGTGTACCAAAGTAAGCATGCACTGCAAACGTGTACGAAGAAAGATACCTGAGACTGATCTGGGGGGAGGTGATTACTTCCAGTGACTCAGTTTGTCTTTCAAAGCAGTGTTGCGGAGACAAACTTTGGCCTTGGAGGCTGACATCTTTCATGTAGACACTGTGACCGTCTATTTCACAGGCTCAATTTCTTGGTCCTTCTCACGAATTTAAGTCAAAGCTAATGCATGTGATGGCACGCTGAGACGGTCTGCTGCCAGTTTCTTTGTTTTCTGCTTTCAGCAAAAGTTTTTCTTCTTCAGACACATCCTCTGCAGTTACGACAGAGCAGCACAACTTGAATTATTAAATCTGCCTCGATACCAGTACCCAAAATAGCACGCGCACACACAGGGAGATGGAGGGGTCTCTAACTCCGTTCCCACCTCCTCCGCCTGTGCGCTCGTCTCCCACGCGGACGCGGGGGAAGGAGTCCCCGGCGCCGAAGCCGTTTCCTCCTGTCCACTTCTGCCTCTCGCGAGGTCGCAGGACATCTGGGTCCCCCCGCTGGTGTCCCCGTGGACCACCACGCAGCTGGATCTCGTTATTTTGGAAGCAGCGCTGGCATCTGCCCCGGGTCCGAACCAGGCCACGCTGCTCTACACCGCCCTCTTGGCGGCCGTCTCTCCCTCCCTCCCAGATCCGATCGGCCTCTTCTGGTTCTGTGCAAAAGAAAAAACGAGGCGCCCGGCCCTCCCCGAGGGTCTGCAGCCGGCGCTGCCGGGAGGCCGGGTCTCTCCGCGGATCTGCGCTGGTTCCCCCCGGGCAGGGCCCTTCCAGGGGTGCAGGGTCTCTGCGGAGAGGCTGTCCCGGCCGGGTCTCGTCCTCTGCGCTGGGCAGCTTGCCTTCGTCCCTGTGTTCTGAGGGCGGACCGTGTTCATTAACCGTCAGTGTAAAGCTGCCTCAGCCCCACACGGCGGAGTTCTCCTGAGGATGTACCAGTTCCCTGCAGTGCTGCCAGAACTTCAAACCTCACTTCTCTTCTGTGATCTCAACAGGACGTTGCCCGCTGCAGGGTGATGTTTCTCTAAGAGAATGTGGAGTGAGGTGTGCACACTGATTGTCCTCAGAGCTCTCGTGTGGGGGGCAGGAGGTTAGGGCCCTGGGGCGCAGCACTCAGAGGAGGGTGCGGTGGTGTCCTTGTGACCCTGGGTGGTCCTCATGGAAATCGGTTTTTTTTTTTTCCCCAGTACCAGGAATCGAACTCACGACCTTGCTCTTGCCAGGCAGGTGCTGTGCCGCTGAGCTAAATCCCCAGCCCCTAAAATCGGTTGTTGTAAGCAGAGAAAGCCCGGTTCCTCCCACCCCATTGCTGCGGTCTCAAACTTGCACACACTCCCACAGTTATCCCCTCTTCCCCGCTGAGAGAGCGCCGGAAGTCTGCACCGCGCTGGAGTCCTGCTTTGGAACTCCAAACACGCGAGCTACATCCCACATCCTCTGTCCTTTACAAATGTCCAAGATGACATACTCTGTTATAGCAATGGCAAACAGAATCATGTATTCCCCCGCCAAGTTAAGATTTTCTTTTCACTTAGAATGAGAAATTTTATCTTTGGGAAAATAACAAGGGGATACTGTCAATGACTGCTGTGGATTATGTCTTAATAAAAGACCAGGCAATTTCCCAGACACCAGCTGCTTCCTTGACTTAGAATGGTGTTGTGTTCCTCACCGCTAGGCAGCCAACACGGTGACATTACTCACCGTAAGGAATGGTCTTCTGATGAAAGCCAAACCACGAGATTTTGTGTAAACAGCACATTTAAATTCCCAGCAGACCTAGGAGGAGGAGGGTAACCTGGAAACAGGTGAAGCTGTGAAAGTGGCTTTTCACACTCTCCTAAATGTCATTAAATTGTGTGTGAACACTTCCAACATCATTTGGAAACCACTTAGCTTTGTTTCTCAGAGGATTCTTACCACATCCTTTGCACTGAGAGAGACGGTTAACGGGAGAAAGCAGACAGAAAATGAGTGACTTTGGCCTGGGGGAGAGCACTTGCATCTGACGCAGCGTCTGAGGCTTCTTTCCAGAGCCTGGCCCCATCAGACAGAGAGCAGGAGCGAGCCAGCTGAGGGATCCACCATCCTGGGCTTCTGGTCTGCAGGGTTTGCATTTCCTGGTTCTGGAGTATCTGGGGATGGGATGAATGAGAGGAGGCCACTTCCTCTGGCCCAAGCTGGTGTTAGTTTGTGGTGAGTTGGGTGTACCTTGTGTGTACATTTAAGGGCCTCTGAGGAACAGGGCTTCCTGCCCTGGGACCTGGGTAGGCCAAGGCCTGCTAAGGGTCAAAGCTGGGTGCTGTGCAAGGTTTTCATTAGTTACTCCTGACTTCTTTTTTTTAAAAAAAAATAAAAGGAGGAAAACATTGACAGACAGACAACCTTTTACAAAATAGCAAAAGAACAGTACAGACAATACAGAGTTACAAACAAAGTGGTAGGAAATGAACAATGCTTCTTGTATTACATATTGATATCTTCAAAGTGGTTTCTCATGAAAACAGATAGAGACATGCAATATTGATCAATCAAGGACTCATTGACAGTTTCTTTCAGCAAAGTAATAGAAGACAGTGGTACAACTATGTTAGCTATCCTGTACACACATATATACAAAATTTCCCCTTCTTTCCCTTCTCTTTTCCCACAGTTACTCCTGACTTTCAAATCCCATGGCTATTAAAAATCTGTAACAGTTTAAACTTCTGATAATTATTTCATGCACCTACTGCCATTTCTTCTTCCATGTTCTGTGTTCCCTTTCTCCAGACTTGCATCTGCAGAACAGATAATCCATGACTGTTTAATATCCTCTGAAACTGGTTTAAGCAATATTGGGTAATTGGAGCACTAGGCCCAGGATAGCAAATGCTCTGCTCCTGAGCAGTTTACTTGTCCTGGTCAAAAAGCACATGGATCCCTGTGTTGTGAAGGTGGGAGGCAGCTCCGTGCACTTACGGCCAGAGTTTCTTAGAAAGACATAACACCAGCCTTGAGTGTCTGGGATCTGACTTACGGAGAATCACAAAGGACGCTGGAAGGCAGTCCTGGTGTGTACCCTTTCTCCTGGAGACAGTTACCCTTTCCCTAGAGAGGCTCAAGACGGAAGAACACCAATGGTATTTGATGAAGTCATTGTAACCAAGTTTACTGTGTTTCACTCACAAAGGTCAGTGAGGAGCACAAATGTTTGGAGCAAAGAAAAATAATCATTTGGAAGCAGAGAAACCAAAGAAGATAATGGCTATGGCCAACAAAGATTATTTTACTCTGAGGTTAAAGGCACAGGCTTGGTGGAAATCTGGGGGAAGAATAGCAGATAAGCACCAGCTGGGGTGGTTACCCCTTCAGCACAGCCCCTGATTTTGGTGGTCTGCTTTTCTGACACAAGGGCTGCCATATCTGTAGGTCACCAAATGTTCTGCATTCTGAAAATGTTCAGAGAAGTTGCTGATGAGAAAGTCCTGCAACTCATGTCTTTTCAATTCTTTTTTTGCAGGAACGCTTAACCTTCCATTTAATCGTAAAGATACAATAGGCATCTTTTTCGGAGGACAGAGAAAGACAGTGCGTGGCAACTTTCTCTGAGGCAGTGGGGAGTTAGGGTCAGGTGACATTTGCTGGAGAACTGCGCAGCCCTTTAGGTGGCTTCAGGCAGTGGTGTCATCTCCAGTAGAGTTAGTGGAAATCTAATACTGCAGTGCTCAGTTGTGTGATACCCCAAAATGAGTGCAACTCACCTCACAAACTTTACCCTAACAGGGGTTCAGGGTACAGGTGAAGGGCTCTCAGGCTGCATCTAGGTGGTCTTGCATTAAGCTTATAGCACTCGGGCAAAGACAGAGCATGACACCTGTTTATAATGGTACAGTGTACAGTATCTGTAAGACAGGCAAGATGCCCATCCACGGAAGAATGGACAGGGAATGTGTGGTGGGAGCAACAGTGCAGTGTTATTGTCAGAGGGAAGAACAAAATCGGGTCATTTGTTGGGAAATGGATGGAACTGAAACAAGCCAGACTCAGAAAGCTAAGTATGGGTTGTGTTCTCTTGTGAGACCAAAAGGGAAATAAATTAGTAGATGTATAAATAAATAAATGAGAGATGACAGGAAGCTAGAATGCAGACATTTTTAGATTGCGAAGGGTCTCTGGAGGAGAAAGGAAGAAAAGGAGAGGTGGGTGAGGTGACTGAGTATTATCAAGACATGTTAAATCCATGCACGCATTACTAAAAACAGACCTTACCATTCCGTATTACTAAAATGAACGAACAAAGAAGTAAAAAATGAGGGCAAATCTGACTTTTATAACCAACCATAGAGAGGAGCTTCAAAATAGAAGATTCAAGCACAGACCACCTGGCAGCACGAATATTACGAGGCATGTAGCCCTGAGGCCCTCTCCCTGGCTTCCTCACTGCCCCCAAGTCAGGAGGAAGGAGTTGCAGGAGAATGCCAGGAATAAAGTCCATCTTTGGTACATCCTGGATGGCAGGATGAGGTGGAGAATGTTCACGCTTTATATCTGTTATGGTTTGTGCCTAGATGTCCCCACCCCTAAGCCTCATGCAGTCATATGTGGCTTTTTCAGAGGTGGCTGGATCTGGAGTCTGAGACTGATTCATGGTGCAATGCTAGGATTAAGGGCGCTGGGATTAGGATGGGTGATTACTAAATCAGTCTGCAAATTGATTTGGCACCACCCTAATTCAGGCACCCTGGATACAATAGCAGGGAAGAAAGAGACTTGTCTTGGCCCTGGCTTGCTTTGCTATCTCCTGCCTGCCATGGATGGTTTCTCCTCTGTGATGTCCCTCTGCCATGTGCCACCCTGCCTTGGAGCCAGTCGATTATGGGCTGAAAATGTGCAAACTGTGAGCCAAATAAATCTTTTCTCTTTAACTTTGTGTGTCTGGTATTTTGTCTCAGCAATGAGAAAAGTGACTAGGACAGTATTTAGTGTTGGAAAGTGGGAAGTGGTATGAATAATAATATTATTAATGTACAGTTGGCATTCATCGTATGACATGTGCTGGGCCCAGTGTTTCACACCCATTATCTCCTCACTAAATTCCCACTGGAGGCAGAGAGCGTGACCCTCTTCAGAGAGATACAGAACACCATGTCAACTGAGCAACATGCCAAAAGGCTAACTCAGTTCTCCTGAGTAACAGATTGGCAGAGCAGAACTTTCAATTTAGGTGGCGTAGTTCAAGAGCACCTTCCTTTAAGAAGATTCCTGGCACAGGTCTGGGAAACAGAGGAATGATTTTGTCTGTAGTTACCCCCTCATTTGCTGATGGCCCTTTGGGTTGTTTCTGCTTATGGTGGTCAGCCTGATCGGTTTGGGGAAAGCAAACACCTGCTGTGGTAGGCGGGTCAAGGAGGTCAGATCTCAGTGCTGTAAGTGGTTACTGAGGCTTGCTACCTGTGCTGATCCCCATTCTGCTTCTGGTCACCATGAGCTGAATACCCCTGTCGTGCCATTCCCTCCAGCACAGCGTTTCTGCCTCCAAGCCAGCTGACTGCAGAGCGAATGCCCTGAAGCCCTGGGCCAAGTTGCACCTCTTGTCCTTTAAGTGGAGGGTGTCGGCCAGGGGAAACTGCCTAACATACCACGTTTTGGCTGTTGTGGATAATCATGCTGAAAAACTCCACTTGTGTGTTTTTGTGTGGACCTGTGTTCTAACTGTGATTGTGCATACCTGGGAAAGCATCGAGGGGGCCTGTCCTTGGCATTTTTCAGAACTGCCAGGCTGGCTGCCTTAGTTTACAACCTGACATCCACATTCAAGGCTTCTGTATACATCTTCCTCTCCCTTGTTTACTGCTTTTACTGATTTCTTCTGTCCTCAGGGGTGTGAAGCGGTATCTCATGTGGTTTTTACTAGCACTTCTTTAAGTTACAAGTTACGTACAGCGTATCTCCACGTACCTAGCCATTCCCGTGGAATCCTTATTAAGTTAGCTGCCCGTTTTGAATTGTGTTATTCAGTTTTTCACTGCTGGCTGGTAAGAACCCCTTATATACTCTGGGTTTGAGTGACTTCACTTCTGTGAACATAATGAAAATACAACTTGAAAATTGGAATATAAATTCACCTCGGTACCCAGAAAGTTCCTGAGGCTTAAAACTATACACAGATTTGTGTTATTATACTGAACAAAAAGTTGCAAAAGTTTATCATGCAATACTTTTATGTATTTTTGCTACATATTGGTAAGTCATGATATAAAGCAGTGTGTTAGGACCAAAAAATTGTGGTTCCAGTGGTGGGACTGAGAGCCATAAATTCTACCCAAAGAGTCCCAGGTACAGAAGAAAAACCCTAGATGACATAAGTGACACTCAGTGAGTGACACTCAGTATGAACAGGAAAGGATTCCAGCTCTGAGAATGTTCCTGTGCCTTGAACACAAAGAGGGGGCCATGAAGCATTATGCAATCTGTCGATGGACATAGTATTTCCTTGTTTACTGCTGATATTAAAATGATCCTCCAGTGTGGGAGATGACTGTTGTCAAGGGACTAGGGAATGATAGGGACAGAGGAAAAAACCTGAACACACTTGGAAATGAACTGGAAGGCATTTCCCTGTTTGTGTGGCTCCACCTATTTAGTAAATACCATAGAAATATTCTCCTCTTTAATAAATGTTATTATCACATGGCGTTTTGATATTCTCCTGTTCTCTCTCTGAGTAATGTGTTTTTCTGTGTACTTGCCCACCCTCCAATAGTGATGACAGTGTAGGGAGGGAACATAGTCCAGAGTTTGCCCTTAGAAACTTGCCTCTAAATTTCGAGTTCCTCTACGACCTCACCTTAAGTTGCATTTCTTCTTCCAGCACTGTTTTTGCTGCCATGGCGAATGAGCAAAGAGTGCAGCTGAGCACTCAGGGAGCTGGACCTGCCTTGCTGCAACTGGAGAAACTCGAAACTCTGAACACACACTCGAAACTCTGGACGGGGAAGAGGGTGATGTTCCTGAAGGTGCAGCCCAAGGTCCTAGGGGTGAGTCCACCGTGCATCTGAGAGGAGAGCAATGCTGTTGTGAGCTCACACCTGGTCAGCCTGGGGCCCGGCACTGTGTCGCAGACTGCAGAACCCACAGACCCATACGGGAGTCGTCAGGGTCTGACTCTCAGGACTCATTCATTGAAAATTGATCTTATGTTCTATCACACCAGGGATCCAGTTTAAAACATAGAAATTTGAGATCTAGTCAATATTGTGGGTCATCGAGGATAATTAATTTTAACCTCACTTTGGAAGAGCAGCAAATACTTAAACTGGGCATAGTGGCACATGCCTGTAATCCCAGCATTCTGGGAGGCTGAGGCAGGAAAGTCACAAGCCAGAACCCAGGGTGAGAAAATTAGTGAGACTTTGTTTCAGAAAGGGGGAGGGAATAAGATGTAGCTCAGTACAGAGGCCGTGTACTCAGTTCCTGGTTCACTGCAGAGGCCGTGTACTCAATCCCCAGTTCACTGCCCCCAAAGAGAGAAAAAGAAAGAAGAACCAAGGAAAAGGTTATGTGTGCACGGCTGGCACCCTTGACAAGCCTGCCTCTCAGCCAGGGACCCATGCTGTTCCCGAATCCCTCTGTGTCCCCACTTAGCTGCTCCTCAGAGGGAAACATCTTCCTCCGCTCAGTCGCTTCTAGAGTCTCTGGCTCTTGTGCCTAAGGGAAATGGAGGCTCTAAAGACCACAGCGCAAGGCAGGCGACGGACGCGAACACAGTAGTTCATGCTACCCAAGATGCACCGGGCAGCAACCATTGGTGGACCCTGCATTTTTGTCATGGCTATTCTATGTTTTTGGTAAGCTTTGGAATATGCAGGTATTTCCCATAGAATATGAATATATTTCATGTTGCTTGCACTCGCATTTTCAGGTTTATTTTTAAGTAGACTTTACTATTTTAGGAACATTTTATATTTTGAGCAAAATGGGGAGGAAGTTACAGACCTGTCCTGTGTCCCTGCACACTAACCAGCGCTGGTCCTGCTTGTGCACCTCCCTGCCACAGTGCGCGCTGTGACACCTGCTGGACCCCGGGACACAGCTCCATCGCCTCAGTGAAGAGTGCAGAGCCAGGCTCACCCTTCACTCGATGCGTTTGATGAGCGACACGTCTCCCTTGTGAGAGTAACTTCACTGCCCTGCGATCCTCCCCGCTCTCCCACTCATTCTGCTCTCCCCTCTGCCTCCTGAAAACACCTGTATTTTACCCTCCCTATCGTCTGCCTGTGCCGGAAACGTGTAGATGTAGAGTTAGACATCATTTAGCCTCTTTAGATAGCTTTCCTTCACTTGACCTGCATTGCTTTCTCATCATCCTTTCAAATGCTTGGTGTCTCATTTGTCCTCAGCACTGGTTAACACTCCACTGTCCCAGAGCCCACCGCTTATTAATCTGGAAGGCATCTCAGTTGCTTCTAAATGTTGGCAGCTGTAAATAAAGCTGTTATAAATATCTCTGTGCAGGTTTTATGTGGACATCAATTTTCAACTCATTTGAGTCAGCGTGACGGCTGATGGTGTGATGCTTTATAGTGCATTTCAGGGCAGCACAAACACCTGGGGCTTCATCACTCATAAAGGAAGCACCTTCACAGGGCTCACAGTTGTGGTGGCTTGAGAGTCCCAGGGCATGGAGCCGCATCCCAGTGATGACCTCCCTTGGCCACCCCACACCTGACAGGGAGAAAGGGAAATGGCCATGTGAAAGTGAGCCCGTGGGGTCACCGTGGTTATGCAACGGCAACAGAAACACTGAAACGACACTCAGGAATTGGAGGCAGATTTATTTCATGTCAGATGGGCACTGACAAGGAATCAATCCTTATAAAAATGTCGGGCCTCAAAGGCTCAGGGAGGGAGAATTTTATGAGGCTGCAAAGGGAAGGCACAAGGTAGAGTACTTGGCTGTCTTTGATTGGTTCTTAGAATACGCATCACAGCGACCAGTCATTTCTAGGAGACAGAAGTAACTGGAACTACACATGCCTGTAATCCGGGGAACTACAACAGGAACTGTCACCTAAGCAACAGGAGTGTACTCGCTGGGGGGAGCATTTTCTGCCACAGTTATAACCTGAACTTGTGAGACTTAGCACACTTGAGGCCAGCACGAGCCCCTCCCAAGTGGGGCTCATAGCACTTCACTGCTGCCCGTGAGGCTGTGCTTCTTAGAGGTTCCCACCTCAGCAACACTGTGGGGACCAAGGTCCCAGCACCTCAAGGTTTGAGAGACACAGTGAGTCCAAACCATGCCTGGCTTATTTGAATGTGCTTATGTGTAGTTTCCTAATTAATATCGGGGTTCTCCACTCAGTACTGGAGATGATGTCATTGATCTCTGATGACTTGTGTCGCATGAAAGGAAAGAAGACCTATGACAGGAGGACAGAGGTGGTGGCCACTCTGTTTATTAAGGGCATGCCTCATGAGAACAAAGGCGTTCTTTACCTAATGAGAAACAAAGGCATTCTGTGAGAAAGGAGCTCAGAAGATAGTTCAAGCGAGGTTATGTTCCACTTGAGCTGATAGCGCTGGGGACAGCTGAGCTGATAGGCTAGAGTACAGGGCTAAGGAATGCTGGGAACAGCACAGAAAGTTTGCTTACAGCCTGGACTACAAGGCCCTGACCACCCCCGCTCCAAGTCATACCATGCTCCGTCTCTACAGTCCCCTGCTGACCTGTCTGGATGGCCAGATCTACAGTCCAGGTGCAAAGTGCTTCATGTGTACATCTTTAGTGACTCACATATTTTTGCAAAGAAAACAATTTTAATGAAATTCAGTTTAGCCATTCTCTTTTTTACATTCACACCTGTAATACAGTATTGCAACAGGTATCACCAAACCCAAAGTTGTGTGTTTCAACTATGGTTTTGAGGAATTCCATAGTTCTGATTACTTGTGTGATTCATTTTGAGATAATTATCATGAATGATAAAACATCTGTCCAAACTCAGTTTTTTCATATGGATGCCCACCTTGTTAATCATAATTTTTGTTGATTGTATTGCCCTTTATCCTTTGCCAAAGGTCAGTTGGCCCCATCTCTGTGTGCATTTCTGAGACCCCTGTTCTATTCAGTTGAGCTCTTTGCCACTGCTATTGTTCTTCATAACTATAGGTTTGTATTATGGCCTGAGATTGTTTTTATCCCCAGTTCTCTACCTATCATCTACTTTTTTCTTTAGTACTATATTTGCTATCTTGACTTTTAAATTCTCCTTATAAATATTAAAAACTGCTTTTCTTTTGGTCTTTTTGAGACAGAGTCTCCCTGTGCAGTTCAGGTTGGCCTTGAACACTCACTTTGTAGTCCAGGCTGGTCTTGAACTAGCAAAAATTCTGCTGCCTCAGCCTCCCAAGTCCTGGGATTACAGGCATGCGCCACCATGCCCAGTGATTAAAAACCGTGTTTTGTAGCCACAAGATAATTTGTTGGATTTTGACTGAGACTGCTTATAACCTGTGGGTGGAAGTGGGACAAACTGACAAAATGCCACTATCAACCCTTTCTATTCATGTCTATGGAATAGTGTCTCTATTTATTTAGATCTTTGATCTAACTCATCAGAGGTTACAGTTTTCTTTATAGATTTTTGTGTATATTTTGTTAGTTTTATACACAACCAAAGCAAAAGATCAATATTTTGGTGTGTAATTTTTCCAGGACTGCTAATTTCAACACTATCTTGTTTTTAGTTTCAGTTTTCACTTATTGCAAGTACGGAGGAAGTAATTCACACCTTTTCATTAAATTTGTATCCTACAACCATGATATATATACTCAGGTTTTAGTTTCTGAATTTTTAAACTTTTCCTTCAGACATGGTTACATAGATAAAAAGGCAGTGCTATTTCCTCCACAACAATCCGTATAGGTCTTATTCCTTTGTGCTTGGCTCAGAGAGGACTTCTGGTACAACATAGAGGTGGTGAGAAGGCACATCTTGTCTTGGTCCTGTTCTTGTAGGGGAAGGTATAGTTTCTCACTTTTAGCATTAAAGGTAGTTATGACTTTGTTTTGGTGATTTCCTTTATTAATCTGAGGAAGTTTATCACTATTCACTTTTGGAATTTTATAATGAATGGGAGTTGTTTTTTTTCCAATGATTTTTCTTTGTCGGTTGTTAGGAACACAAGATTTTTCTTCAGCCTTTCAATGTGATGGACCCATTTTACATAATTTAAGTAAATATCACTTTTTCATAGCACATAGATTATTTCATATGTTGTTAGGTTCAGTTTTCTAAGGGTTATAAAGATCATCTATTCCTTTAAGATCATCTATTTCTTACTCTATGTAGAGTTTTTATGTACATGGATTTAATTGCTCTGCTTTTCCTAGTTTCTTCAATGAAAATTTATATAATTGATTATGGGTATTTTCTCCTTTTACCTTTTGCATCCAATTCTCTATTCTTCACTTTCAGCATTTTTGATAATTCAGTTTCATTTTCCTTGTGTCCTTTCTGATGTCATGGTGATATTTATCCACTAATTCCCTACTTTTTCTTTCTTTTTTTTCCTTGGTTTTTCTCCGGTACCAGGAATTGAACTCACAACCTTGCGCTTGACAGGCAGGTGCTGTGCCACTGAGCTATATCCCCAGCCCTAATTCCCTACTTTTAACCTTACATTCTTTCTTCAGGTCTCAGAACAATTGAATGTCCAAGTGGCTCCCCCACCCTTCTCCACATCTAAAGTTTTTTTTCAGGTTAATAGGACTTGCTGGAAGAATTGCTCCCTAATTCCTGGTTGACCCTAGTCTGAGTGCCTGCAAAGGGGTGCATACTTAAGTATGGGTATCATGTAAGCCCCTCTGGGCAGTTAGCAGACTCTTAACCTTGATATTACTGGGGCAGTGTCATATACCGTATTCTGAGGGATAATTAGGCAAATTAGTTCGCGCATTAGTCCTTTATGTGAAAAAACAAGACAAGTGAATATCTATAACTTTACCAGACTGAGTAAAAGCACAGAGAATGAGGTAACTTTGTGGCATGGGGGGACAAATCATGGACACAATTTTGGAGGTAGATTGCTTGTTTTTACTTCCTTATCATTTCTTAGGTCGTGCAGATCATGGTTGGCCTGGTAAACCTCAGTGTGGGAGTAGTCATGAGTCAAGCCAGTCTGCATCCTGTTACAGAGAACTCCTTGCTGTCTTATCGTTCTGTGGGGCCCATGTCAGTGGATGCGTGGTACACAATTTGGGGATCCATCATGGTGAGTAGCGCTCCTCATGCGATTGCAGATGACATCATGAAACTTTTCCTAATTTTGCCATATAGTGCTATTTAACTATCATTTGACTTGCCTTCTCATGCTTACCGTGGAAATAACAATAAAACTCATTGGAAGTTAGGCAAATTAGTTATTTAGTATGTGCCAGTTCTTTGTATTGTAGCACCATGTTGTCCTAGACAGGAACCGGGATGACCTCCCCACTGACAGCTTTGATTCCCTCCTAAGAGGCCCAGGGACAAGTCCTCCCCAGAGTCGGGTAACTCAGTGAGGTAGGCCCTCATAAGGAAGCTGGCAGAGCACCTCTGGGTGTTGACACCTGCCCTTGCTCACTGGTGTCTGATAGACAAATTCCCAAATCAAGCACAGCAGAGGTAATGGTCTTGCCGTTTTGATGTCCACCAGTCACAGTGCTGTCCTGTATGAAGTGTATCCTGCTGAGAAGATCGCAGGAGAATGAAGAAAATAAAGCTTTAACAAGAGAGAGGAGACAGAACTGACACGCAGGCAGTTGGTACAGTGTAGCTGGTCAACTCTCTGCAAGGTTATCGGCAAAGATAGAACTACTACTGGATAAATTTTGTTTCAAAGGATTACTTTAATTTAAATTAAAATAATTTAAGAAAGTTTAGAAACATCTTCTCCCATGATAGTTTTCCTTTAAGTTTAGGGTGGAAATGGAGTACAAAATATGAAATTGCATCTACTGACATGAGGAAAAATGTAGATCTAAATTAAAACTCCATCTTTGGATTGGGGTTTGAATTTGGAGCATGAGATAATTTAGAGTTTAACTAGAGTCCTGGTCTTTAAATTCCTGCTCCTCTTCAGAGTAAAACAGAACGGGAAATGCTGGTCAACCTTTGCAAGTTGCAATGTGCTTTACATACCTAATGTGCAATAATCTAATCCACCCATAGCTTTCTTTTTAAACTCTTACAATGGTCCAGGGACCCTACTATGGGTTTTATATGTGCAGTTCCATTTCAACCAAAAATGAAAATTTTCTGAGAGAGGACCCCTTATCCTCTCTGTATGAAAGAGGAAGTTAGGAGTGGGAGGAGCTACTGACGTGACCTTGGAACCAGGACTCCGAAGATCATTTTTCAGAACTGCATACACCTAATCAGTCTAGTGTTCTGCTTCCATTTGCATTTCCTTTTCAAACCACATTGGAAACCAGCGAAGGTAGTTCCTGACTTCTGAGCATGTTTGGTGGACCATGGGAATGCAGGAGCTGTGCTCTGACACTCTAGTCATCACCAGGCTGTTTCTGGCTTTTCGCACTTCCACCTTTAATTATCTGGTGTATTTTGGTGCAGTACCATCACCCTGTCAGCCGTGTCTCAACCACAGCGTAAAGTGCCTCAGGGACAAATGCTAAGAACCAGTGGTCAGTGTCTCTTATTTTTGGCTTCTTCAGTCTCTAGCATAGCTACATGTCCTGAATGGGAATCTTCCAAAATTATTGCCACAGTAGTCTGCTTTCAAATTTTCCTTTGTTTACTTTAGAATACTGATAAGTTTTACCGTGTAAATCTTCCACATTCTTCACTTTTCTCCCCTCAAATGCTTTGCATATTTTTTGGTGGATAAATGTATTTCTAACTTAATTCCATCTTTTAACACGGAAAACATAATTTGTAATTTATATATATATATACATATATATATATAAATTTTACATAATTTTCTCCCATGTATCTTAATGAATTTGTAATAGCTTACAGTAGTTTTTCGTGATAATCTTGGATGTTTACAATACAAATTATATTCATGGAGAGTCTTCAAAAAACTAGGATTAGACTCCTTCTGGGTATTTTTCCAGAAGAACTGAAAACATCATACCACAGTGATATATGTGCACCCATGTTTAGAGTAGTGAAACTTGTCATAGCTAAATCTTGGAAACAGCCCAAATGCCCATCAACTGAGGAATGGATAAAAAGATGTGATATTTTAATACAATGGAGTATTACTCAGCTATAAAGAAAGATAAACTTGAGTCTTTTATAGGTAAATGGATGTAACTAGAGACCATACTTGTAAGTGAAATAAATCAGACCTGCATGTGTAAAATGATCATATTGTCTTCCTAGTTTAAGAACCTGAAAGAGTAAATAAGGGGCTGGGGGCTTAGCTCAGCAGCACAGCGCCTGCCTGGCAAGCGCAAGGTCTTGAGTTCAATTCCCGGTACTGGAAAAAAACCAAAAAAAACCTCCAAAACAACAAAAAAACCCAAAAAACAGGAGTAAATAAAATCTGAAAGCTATAATATATATTATGAAAGGGAAAAAAACTGCTCAAAAAGGAAGAACAACTGGGATGAGGGAGAGAAGAGAAAGAAGGAAGGGAAAAATGTATATATATATATATGATAGCTAAGATAATTGTAATACTAATTTCTATTGGCTTATTGAAAAGGATAGTTAATGCTTAATATTTTTGGACCAAATTTGCATACTTATATTTAGTAATCTGGACAACTACTTTGAAGACAACAATATGCAGTATAATAATCATTGTTGAATTCATATAATCTTGTTTGAAATTCTGTATCATTTCTATTTTTTTTAGTAGTTTTTATTTTCTTTAAAATAAAAAATATGAATTAAAAAAGTAATTTTAGGGGCTGGGGATTTAGCTCAGTGGCACAGCACCTGCCTGGCAAGCACAAGGTCCTGAGTTTGATTCCTAGTACTGGAAAAAAACAAAACAAAACAAAAAAAGTAATTTTAACTATTAAATTTAATTTTTTAAATATTTTGGTCAATTTAATTAGGATTTTTTATGTAATAGTCTACTTCCTTGTCTTGATTTTAATATTAATGAGGTGTTCCTAGTATTTTTCCAATGAATGTGATAAAGAACATTAGATTGAGACAGATGTTCTATCATGGTAGGGAAAATAAAATTGTTCATTTTTTATCAATCACTTTAGGTCAAGAGTAATTTTTAATTGTATCCAATGTCTTCTCAGTGTTGTAATTAAGAATAGACATTAGCTTGCAATTTTTTCCTTCATTCTTTGAATGTCATGCATTGTAATAGTATTTTAATATTAAACACATTTTAACATTTGTAGTAGTCAGCTTTCCATCACTATAGCAAATACAGGATATAAGCAATGGGTAAAGCAAACAGGGCTCTCTCCCTCACAGTATTGGAGGTTCCAGTCCCTGAGCCTTGGGTTCCTTGCTTGGGTCTGTGGTGAGGAGCTCAGTGTGGCAGAGCACCTGGCCCAGCCACACAACACTACTCCACTCATGGTGAGGAAAGCAGAGAGAGCTAGGGAGCTAGGCCCCCTCAATCCTCCTGAAGGAATCCCCAATTTCCTCTCATGAGGCACTGCCTCTTAAAAGTCCCACTACTTCCTAATAGTTTTGGGCTGAGGATGAATCTTTAACACACGACCTTTTGTGGGTCACTCAAGACCCAAATCACAGCACTACTGGAAAGAAAATGCCACACATTTATGATTTACGTAAGATAGGTTGGTGGGTGCTTTTTATACTTACTTGGTTTCTGGGGGGTGGGAGTGATTGCATTTACATGGGTCATCTATATGCTTTGATGTTTAGAATTTTGTTAAAGAGGGAATGTATTGAGTTGTTTCATTAATTTGGTTATTTTGGATGAAGGCATGATTTTCAAACTTTCTAAAATCAAGTCTGGAAAGTAGAGTCAAGCAGATGAACTCCATAAGGCAGTGTGTCCAATAAAACTGACTCTACCTGTTTCAGCTCAGTGGAGAATTCTTGCTCAATGTTGAGGACAAATGAACTGCTAAATTATCATTGTCTAACAAGGCATGGAAACTTTTTATCCGTTATTTCACTTAGAACTTTTAATAGCTGCCTGAAGTGAGAAAAGTGTTTGGCTCATTTGTTTGAATATCTTATCCATTGTTGTACTGCATTAGCATTATTTCCTTTTAGGATTGTAGGAAACTTTCTCTGTACTCTTTAATAAATTTAGTACCTGGCTATTAGGTATGTTTAGAAAAACTTGTATGTTCTCCCATGGATCCATCTAGTAGAATTCTTCTGTTTTTCTTTGAAAATCAGATAATTATCTGCAAACATTTGTGTTCCTTTTAAGTTATTTATCTGCTTAACAACTCTATTTAATTTAAGGAAATATTACTAAATGTGATGAGTAATAATTGTTTAAAATTTTCATCTGATTTTTTTCCTCTCATTTCTAGTTTATTTGTTCAGGATCTTTCACACTTGCAGCAGGAATAAAGGTCGTAAGACGTTTGGTGAGCAATGTTTTCTTGTATTTTATTTTTTATCAGAAGGTAAAGGGTTTAATAAGACATGCTTTCTGGCAGAATATAACGCAGAGCTCATTTCCATGATTTTAAAAATGCAAGAGTGGTTTATTATGTTGAAGAATCTGTCTTTCAATGATTGTACTCCAATCATTAGATAATGAGATGGTGACTGAAATGGTGCCCCATATTTTAGACAGATAGTGAGTGAGAGGGTCTTCATGCACATACAGAAATTCTAGACAAGAAATGTCAAGCAGAGTCAGTCAATGACATCAAGTAATGAGTAACCTATGTTTATTGACTGATTGATAAAAATATTATTCTAACTTCCTCCAGAAAAGATTTTGAGTTTCCAGATGAGTTCTACTTATAAAGAAACAAATCTAGCGTATCACAGTGAAGAATATGTCTTTTAGGAAACCAATGAAAGCAGAAGCCCAGGTCTCCAGAAATACTTTAGTGTCTAAACATATGGAAGTCACCCTTGCCTAAAACAGTGTAGAACACTATAGCCTAATCAATCAGGCCTTTCTAAACCTGGTCAGTGTCTGTCTTCCTAGCAGCTCCCTCAACTGCAAACACATTAGCACATCCTTTGTGAATATCCACACCAAACACACTTTTCTGAGCAATATTTGACCTTGTAAAAACTTATTTCACCCTGAGAAGACGTCGGACAGAAGGAAATGCACAACTTAAAGACATAATGGACAAAAGCTGTGGAGTCATAAGGGACACAAGTCTTTGGAAAATGATGAGTGATCAGGGCCTGCGGCAGAGCCTGGTAGGAGAGGACGAGATGACCCCAGCAAAAGTGCAGAGCACTTTGTCATCCTTCTAGACTCATCTTGTATCTCTTGTGCTCATAGGCATCGCCTGAAGGAGTTTAGCTGGGGATTAAGATCATATTTTTGTCTGAGAAGAGATTAGACTTGAAATGTCTACTTTAAGAGGCATGTTGGGAGACTAGACAGGATCAAAATCAAAAGGATGAAATGTGTTGGGAAGAAAATGGAGGGCTTCAAATGACGACAGGTATATTTGAACACCTGCTGAATTTTGTACCTGATTTTGTTTCCTTTTTAGGTCCAAGTCTCTGTAGGCTTGAACATCACCAGCGCTGTGTTTGCGATTGTGGGCATAACTATCAGTAGCTTCAGCCTCTTCCTTTCTTCATGCCCGTATTCAGAATGTTCCCTGATGCGCACCGTTTTTCTGGTGAGTGCCGCTTCCTTCCTGGGGGGCTGTGGTACAAGTGAGTGTGGGGAGCCCTGGCTCCGTCCAAGTCACTCATCAACTTTGCAATGCGATTCACTTGGGGAAGCTGGACGTGACTGAGAAGTAGAACAGTGTGTTACTTGGAGTCAGGCCCACTTCTTATCCATAGTTCTTCCTCCTCTAGAAGTTGTGAGCCCAGTGGAGAAGAAAGCTCATAGCAGCAGAGTGCCACCTGTGGAGTAGTAACTGTGTTGGGCACTTGGGCCCCAGTTGCACGTTTAATGGGTAACACTGATCAGTACGCATTGTTTTCTCATCTAAAATGGAAGGCAGTGTCAGTCTCTATATGGCCGCTGGGCTTTGTGTTGGAGCCCAGTGGAGACACAAGTTTCTCTAAAGGTGAAGGAAGACTGTCCTGAGCACTAACTCCGTGTGCCGAGTAGCTTACTCTCCTCCTGCACATCTTGGGATGTTCTTGCGGCATTTTCAGCTGCAATATCCTGCCCTTGGAAAGTTCTCTGTGTCTCATCTGTATCTTAGTATTTTGCACATTTGCCCTCGTTAGAAGGCAGACTCATTTGTTTATTCTCCAGATTATCACACACAAGTGTAGTCATGAAATTTCTTGAAATTTTGGCCGCTGGATCAGTGGGGGTAGAAGAGTTATGGTTGCACACTGGGGGACATGAAAATAGGCAATTAAATCTACTCTATTGAATTTTTTTAGGGTCTGGATGGAATTGTGCTCACTTTAAGTGTGCTGGAATTGTTCATTGCTGTAGTCCTCTCTCACTTTGGATGCCGAATAACCTGCTGTGAAGTAAGCACTAGTCATCCTTTGAATGCATATCTAGTGGTTTTCTGTTTCTACGTAATTAATTATGCAAAACAAATGCTTGCAGTCTCTCACTTTCCATGGCTCATGGGCACAGCTGTGCTGCTTCCCCTGTTCAGGGTCACACAGCTGAACACATGCAGCTGGCAGGGCTACGGCCCTGTCTGAAGCTCCTGGTTCTCCTCCATGCTGTGTGGTAGAAACCATCCCCTCTCAGGTGGGGAACTCATGACCAAGTACGTCCTCTTGGGGGACAGCAGGACAGCAAACATCTCAAGTTCTTTCAGGCACTTTCATAGATGTCACATGATTGTGTCAGATTCACCAAGAATGATGTCTTTTTTATACACTCAAAGCCAGAAAGCTACCCCCAGGAAAGACACTCCATCACATCCACCAGTCCATCTACACTCAAAAAGAGACAGTCACAAGAATATGGGGATTAGCATCAGGAGATTTCTGCCTATCTGAATGGCTGAAGGAAATTTGTTTCCCCATCTTCAGCACTGCAAAGTTCATCCCTTCTGAGTTCAGACCAGTGGACACAGGGAGGTCCCCAGACAGTGCCAAGTGTTACTCTTTTTGGTTTTTTGGTTTTTTTTTGGTTTTTTTCTCCGGTACCGGGAACCGAACTCACGACCTTGCGCCTGCCAGGCAGGCGCTTTTGCCGCTGAGCTAAATCCCCAGCCCAAGTGTTACTCTTTTACCCTATACTGCCAGCCTTGCCTGGGCTCCCAAAGAAATGCCAGCGATTAGACTTCCTGTCAGCTTGTACACCTGCCCATGGTCTTACTAGAGGTCTGCAAAAAAGATCCTCTTGGCTAAAGGGCAGGAAGGTGGAGAGAGAGAGAGCGCGCGCGCGCGCGAGAGAGAGAGAGACAGACACACAGACAGATACACAGAGACAGCCAGACACACAGAGACAGAGAGATGACAGAAAGAGGAAGAGCAAGAGAGAGAGAGAGAGAGAGAGAGAGAGAGAGAGACAGACAGACAGACAGACAGAGAGACACACAGACACACAGACAGACACATAGAGAGAGCCGGACACACAGAGACAGAGAGGTGACAGAAAGAGAAAGAGCGAGAGAGCGAGAGAGAGAGGGAGGGAGAGAGAGAGAAATGGAAAGAGACCAAGAAAAAGGCTGTAGGAAGAATATTGCTAGGGACCCTCCAAGTATGGCTAGTTCCAGAATGAGGTGTCATGGCTTCATTATCTGAGGGCCTAGGGGACAGAGAAAACTCACACACAGTTAAATATAAAAATGAGATCATGGTGCAATGCAGTTGTTTGGTGTTCATTTAAGCACTTGGTATCTCTCTGCCTGCTTTTGGGGACTCCAAGGAAGCACCGCCTATCACAGACCTACAAGGTCTCCTCACGGAAGAACAGAGAGATGCACCAGATCTCTTTATTCTAAAAGTGAATTTTGCCGTACCAGACTCAATAACTGTGAGTCTGTCAGAAACTACTGGAATTTGAAATTTCATTTAGGGAGGACTTTTCTTTTAATTGGGTGCGTATTTGGGCTTGGAGGCACAAACCTTCATAATTTCCACAGCTTAACATTTGTGTCTTGGTCCTGTCTGCTCCACAGCAGTGCTAGAGCCGGGTGACGCCCACTGTGCTCTGTGAGCCCACAGAGTGGTGTCCTTGGTGTGCTCAATGCTGGAGTCTTCATGAGGTTCGGGGTCCATCGCTACCCCCACCTACGCCATCTCACTAAGTTTGTGGAAGAATTTTCCTTAGTTTCATGATAATTCCTGCCATGCTGGGTCAGAGTGGTTTTTGTTGTGCTGTAATCATGACCAGAAAACCATGAGAATGTTGTCACCAGCACGAGCAACCTGGTGCAGAAGAAAAGCTCTGCAATTTTCATAACACCTTGGTTAGACATTTACAAGAAAAATTAATCTACTATAAAGCAAGGCCAGTTTATAGTATTCCACCATGGTATCTCAGACCAACATCTGTCACTAACGTGTGTCCTAGTCAGCCAGATCTAAGGAATGGTTGAGAAATCTGGCAGATTGGTGCTGGGATTGAGTTCAGAGAAGAAGGAGCAATGGTGATATTAAGTAGGAGAGGGACACCCTGGGATTATCTGGCCACTCACCTATGGCACTGTGATTGACTTCACAGGTTATGTTAGTTGTATCATCAGATCCTCACACAACGCAAACAGCACCTTTCGCACAACGGGAGGAGGTGTGATGGCACCAAGAACTCCTGAAAAAGTGATGGGAAAAATCTACCCTGAGTTCAGTGTGGGAACCCCACCTGGGAAACGAACAGGATCTGACTGTGATTTATTTTAGTTGTTTGTGTATAAATTCAGAGTCATATTCTCAGTATAACCAGGAAGGTTGCAAATCTTTCAACTCACTAACAGAATGACAGATATTAAATAAATAAATCATGGATTTAATTGGTCAATAGCACTTGAGTGTTTTTCATTCATTCTCAGGCTTTTATATAAGGGGAAATTGGCACAGAATCTTTGAAAAGAAATGAGTGAAATAATATTCCTGAAAGGAGCCTTCCCTCAGACGACATGTCTACTTCCCTGGGTGAAGTCTTCTGTTTGACCTCTTTTCTTTTTCCCATCTTTTGGGACAGAATATCTTTTCCCTCTGAAATTTAGATGTATAAATTCCCCTCTCCTCCTTTCTCTTTCCCATAAATCTACAATGGATAACCCAGGCAGTCCTTGTATGTGTGTGAGCCACCGAGGGTAAGTACGTGTGGGTCAGAGTGAACTCATATACTTTTCCTGCCTGTGTCTTTCTCTTTTGCTCTATCTATCTCACTTTCTCTCTTTCCTCTGTTATTTTCTGAAGACCAGGATTATGTCTTACTCACATTCATATCCAATGTATTATGTGAGATTTTAAAATGTATAGTTTCTAAATATTCATTAAATATACATATATGTTTTTATCAAAGAACAAATCAAAATTAAATACATCAAGAAAATAGTACATTCAGATGATACCTACTTCTCATTCTCAGTAAAAAGAATGAATATTGGTGTCAGAAACTATAGAAATTTGATAAAGAATGCAGACTTTCTAATCAATCCACCCTGCGTTTTCACCTAGAAAACCTCATCTTTCTCATTTTCTCCTTGTAGAACCATAGACACACTATAAAATTCTTTACTGCACATTTCCCAACAGAATAAAGGGTAATATAACATCTGATTCAAAGACTACTTGTGATAATTTGATATAATATACCATAAGTACAACAACTACTCATACTGTCTTATATTGTGCCTCAAACTTTTTAAACATACACATGAATATGTAGACACATACAGGTCTTATGTAGCCTAATTTATCATGTTATCCAACGCATCATAAAGTGTCCATATTGAGACAGATACTACAGTATTTTAAGCACACTACACAGTACTGCTGTGTAAGAAAAACAACGTCTTTCCACTATTGAAGGTTATAATTTTATGGGGCCGGATGTAAATTTACAAATAAACCATCAAACTGTTTTCATATATTGTTATAAGCCAAGAAAATGTTTGTGCCTGTTTATTAAATATACATGCTGACATTTAACCTCCCGTGCAGTCTGCTGCAGTGAGGCTGTCAGGAGTGGATTACACTCTGAGCTCCTCCTCATTAATGGGATCAGGGCCCTCATCTCTCAGGACTTTGCCCCTACTGTCTCTCCTCCTCCTGTCATGTGAGGACTGTGGTGATTTGTAAGTGTAGAGAATTCTGGGTTATTTTAATGTCCTAAAATTTCTGTGAAGGAGACACATGGATTACATCCTTCTTTGCCACAGAGATCCCTCCCTTCCCTCTAGCACTGATTTCTGTCTGACATGCAGCAGAAAGTGCCCCACAAGAATTCAGAGTGGAATTAGGGCTGTGCCAGCCTGCATTGCTCAGGTGTTTGAGACTGATTCTGTCGAGGGTTCAGGACATCCTCTGGACCACTGGCCACAGTGATTGTTGATTTATTTCCTATGCAAGGGCTTTTTAAGGGTTCCCTGTGTATCACGTACACCTCCTCTGGGAATAAAACATTGAATAAAATAAAATAAAGTGTGCAGTCACCTTTCTTTGACATGTATCTGGGAAACTGACAAACAGTACTTTAAACAAGTATGTTTTTGTTATATTAGAGTCCAAAGAAAGCTACAGAAAGACTTTGGACGTTGAAAAGGATCGGAAGTGCTGCAACTTGGCTCAGGTATGGCTTCACACAGAATGGTCAGGACGGCCTTCCTGAACGAGCCTCCTTTTTATTAGTTGAGTGGTGCAGAGACTCCAGGAGTGGGAGACAGTGCAGGGAGCCGCAGGGCTGAGCCTGGGGACTCAGAGAGTTGAGGGAGACAGGTGGGGATGGGATGGTTGCAGGTGCTCACTCCTGGTAATCATTCACCAGGTGTGTGTGTGTGTGTGTGTGTGTGTGTGTGTGTGTGTGTGTCCGGCATGCGAGGGGATTTGCATGAGCTAAGATGACCAGCGGGTGGCGCACAGAAAGCCAGCTCTGCAGAATGACACAGGAGGAGCACCGTCTCTGGTCCTGCGCTTTGCTCCCTGCAGGGTTCGGAGACACCCTGAGGCCTTACCGCGGCACTGGTCACCTCGGCCTCTCGGCCTCCCTAGCCCCGTGCTGCGTCCGCAGGTATGACCTCGTGTGAAAACATTCGTTGTTTTCCAGTGTGATTATTCAGCTACTTTGTTTTCCAGTGTGATTATTCAGCCTTAAAAATGTGACTAATGCTTTGCCGTGACCTATGTATTAACCAGTGCCTGAAATTATTAGATTCCATGACTGGTACGTAGCCGAATCACACTGTGTCTTAATTACACTTCTCTGAATATGAAAGCTCATTATTTTTCTCAACTTTCCTTGTTATTTGCATGTCCTCTTGTGGAAAGTTCCTGTTAGTAGCTTTTGCCCTTTTGTGTGTTATTCAAAAAAGAATTTGTTGGTGTTGCTAAAGGTGCCAAATGTTAATACTAGCGTGGTGATATTTTATATACTACAATTATACTCTAGAAAGTGATTTCTTTATATTTCCCTCCTGTTAGGGTTTTATTAAAATATATTTTACATAGACTGTTTTAGAATGCCACTTTAATGCAACTTTGTGTCTTACTTAAAACCTGAATATAAGAATTGCAGTATAATGCCTCATGAAATCTGCCATGCTTGACTTTCTATTTTTAGTAACATATAAGGAACATATAAATACTGCATATATTTATGGAGGACAAAAAGACATTTTGAAATACATAGACACTGTGAAATTTTTATCACCATTCCGCTCATTCACAGCCTTCACTTGTTGCTTCACAGTTTGTTATCTTTGCATTTCTTTTGTGGAAAAACCAGATAAGCTCTGCATTACGTCTCATCTGTGCCTGAGGCAGCGTTGTTCTCGATGCCAAGCTGAAAGCTGTGTGTCATGCTTACTCATCTTCTGCTGGGAGGTTGGTGATCCAGTTCTCCCCCTTTTTCTTTTTCTCCAGCCTGTGTAGTCAGCTTTCTTTGTCTATTTTCATGTGTTGGCATTTTTTACAAAGCTCTGCTTTTAGTTAGCATCATGCAGTATTTATCTTTCTGTGTCTGGTATAGTTCACTCAATATCCTCAAGTTTCACACATGTTTCAAGAGAGAAAAATGCCTCCTTTTCAGTGACACATAGTGTATATGTCTATATATTCTCTGTAAATGAGTCATTCACGGGGGACTGTCCAGTGAGCGCCATAGGTGAGTTGTGGGTTCCGTCTCACTTTCCGTTGTACACTGAACCTACTTGGTTGGTCCAGCACTACTTGTGAAGAATGATGTATGTGTGCCCCCATCTACCTCTGTGTCCCCTGTCACCTGTTAACATGAGACAAACCAATGGGATTCAGGCAGCATGGCTGAGGATGGCTTTCTACAGGGCTCTGTGAGAGGATGGGCAGTTACCCCAGCACAGTCAGGGCTTGGCACAGGACTCACAGCAGCGGGACATCTCCACCACGGGTCAGAGTGGGGCGGGTGTCATGACAGAGGTGCAGTAGTGCTGGGGTCCTGACAGCACCTACAGCTTTTACCAGGGAGCCACCTTGCTCCGAGGCTGCCCTGGAGGGAGCCACGGGCTACAGCCTCTGGGAGTTGAAGCTGGTTGCAGTTAGCTTCACAGCAAAAATTCACAAAGAAATGTTTCAAATGCTAACTAGGTCACAGGCTGCTCTGGATTGCTGACCGGAGAGTAATATTTATCGTGCATTTTTGGTGGATTAAGCATGACTGTCCACACTGATAATGCTCTTCTGCTCTGACAGAAACTCTGCTCTAACCTGACCTGGGCACCACACCCACTGCTCTTCCAGTCCATTTTCAGCTCCTCTTGCTGCTTCTTCTTAATCTTCCCAATTTCTACATATTGCAGTTAACCTCTCTAACCCAATTCCCTCCTTCATTCACAGTTCTTTTGTTCATGTACTCTTGTGACACCATCTACCTCCTAAATTGTTGTGTTTGAGATTAAAAAACTGAATGTTTAGATCACAATTCTCACCTGAACTTTGAACCGGCAAACTGTTGTCAGATTCATTCATTTATTTAGTTTTGTCCTGCAAATTTATTACAATTTATAAACCATTTCTTACAAAAAAACCCCCTGTGTTTCACACATTGCTCTCTGAACAGATGCCAGAGACACATGGACTGCTGCTACTCACTTTCCTGTCCTATCCCCAAAATGTTTAATAAACAGAAAATAAAATGTTTACAGTGATTACAAAGAGGTATTTGCATTTTTTTTTGGTACAAAGTGTTGATATATGGGTCTTCTAATTGAGCTGTACCTCCAGGAATTTTTATTTTTTTGTATTGAGACAGAGTTGTGCTAAGTGACTAATGTCCAAGCTAGGTTCACAGTGGCAATCCTCCTGCTTCACCCTCCCAGGGTGCTGTGATTACATGTATGTGTCACCATGCATAACTGAAACTTTCTGTTTTACTAGGAATTATAGACATTTACTAATACATTCAGTTAAAATGTTAAGCCTGGCAGGTCCAAAAGGAACTCCTCACGCTCACACAGCTCCCTCCCACACAGGTCACAAGTGATTACCTATCTGTGGGGTTGGCTTCCTGTAACAAAACCAAAGCTTTGATTTTTATCCTCAGGACAGTTATTGTGAACATGGGACAGCCACTTGCAGATGATTTATGTTCGTCTTATACACCAGAACAGAATACTGAATACATCAACTGGTATGTTCCCTTCCCGAGTTATTCCCTGGGAAGACATAAGCTGGATCTCAAGTCATAGGTTCTCTGCCAGGCCCATTCCACAGGGTGACAGAACCTTTCCTGTCACTGATGTTGCAAAGCACATTCACTCAACAATTAAAGCTGAGCAACGAGAACCTGCCTTCATACCATGGAACCTTCTAACCCTTGTTCT